CATTCTAATCTCGAAGAGATAATCTTATCATTAACTTTTAAGTTTATATTAATTAACGGCAAATATAAACATTTTGTATGACCGTTTCACGAAGACGATTGAAGCTTACTTTCAATGATAATTCGCTTTGAAATAAAAATAAACGCACGAACAAAAAAATCTTATGATCTGTCCTAATCAATAAATGGAATAAATGGAATAAATGGACGCTTTCATTACACAACAAAACGTCTTTTCTATAGATAACACGCAGTTCCGGATTTCATCTCGTGTTCATCATAAACAATTCTTTTGAATTAGTCTTTTGCTCATTTGTTTGGCAAATGGAGAATCTTCTAAATCTCCTTGGTGGTTTTAATCAACTTTTTGAGCGGGAAATCATTCAATGAAACTGCGCCACGGAAATCGGTGAATGACGAAACTCCGAATATAAACAAAACGGTAAAAATAACAAGTTAAAGCAAAAAGACACTTTTGATACTTGTGACACATTTTAAATAATTTTTTTTTTTTTTTTTATGTACAAAACGGATGTTATCGTTCTTTTTTATTAAACGCGAAAATTTTTTTTAAAAAAAAAGAAACAACAAAAATTTACAAAGGAGAAAAAAAAATAAGAATTTTATACAAGAAACTCCAACTCTCGACAAGAAATGAATCGAAATTGATGAACTGAAAATGTTTAAAAGTGTTTGTTCGTGTTTGTTCGTGTTTGTGATTTCCCGAATTACTCGAATTAATTTTGAATTGAAAGCTTAATTAAAATTTAATAAAAACAAAAGACAACTTAAAAAAAATGATTTAAATCTTATAAAAAAAAAATGATGTTATATTATTAATTAATCTTTTTATCGATTAGGAAAAAAAAGATCTTTTTTTTAAAAAAAAAAAACAAAAAAAAAAAAAAACAAATAAATAAATAAAATAACTAGTTACAAAAGAGCCACTCGCGTGGCTATTCTTTAAAGTATGATTAAATAAAAATTTATTCTATTATTATTAAATTAATTTTTTTTTTTTTTTTTTTTTTGAAGAAAAGGACTTTTTTTTAAGGATGTATGATTGTGGATGTTCTATAGGTTAAATGGTGTTATCTTTTGGAATGTTAAAATAAATCTTAATTTTTAGTTATGATACATAAAATGTGTGACTTTTTTAAAAATTAGTCGTATAATAAAAGGATTGTGAAATGTAATGTTATTATTAAATAGCCAATTAACCTTTAGTCTAAAATATGAATTTACAAATCGAAGAATGTACAAATTGTGTTTAAATGACGTTTAATCGTTGAAAGAATACCAGATTCTTTTTGACGATATAGAAAATTTAAATTAAATATGTTTTCGGATACTCGCTTCTCACATCGTTTCGAATATCTATTTGATTTCGTAAATGCAAAGGGAGAAGAAAAAGGTTAGCGCATGTTCATTTTGCGTGTAAAAGATGAGCAAAGAGAGAGAGCATAATCAAGGGGGAAAACCTACCCATTCTTCCATTGGGGAGTCCTCTGCCATGATGGTCTTTTTGTTGTCTTCGTTTATGTATTTAACGATCCAATCATCCCACATGGAAACTTCCGACAAAGATTCAGAACTAACTTGTCTGCTGTGGATTCTTGAATGATTCCTTCCGTGATTTCTAAAGTTGGCGGCCACGATGCTAGCAGCGGCAAAAGTATTTGAAGACGACGAGGATGTCGTGGACGTTGATGATGTTGTCGATGATGATGAGGTAGTGCTCTGTCGAACGCGACGACCGGAAGCTCTCTTTGAAAGTGGCTTTTCATCAAGAGAGGTTGGTTTGTACTCTATGTTGTATACCAATTTATCTTTTATTGAGCAGACGGTTACTTGAGCGACCGTTAAATCTGTTTGCGAGGACGTAGCGCTCGATGATGGAGCAACTCCATTAATTGTCTGTTTATACCAAAGTGAGTAAAATGACATTTTTTTGAATTTTTTTATTTTAATTTTTTTTTTTTTGGTCAGTTTTTTATTATTATAATAAAAAAAGATTCTTTCTTCTTCTTCGAAATATGATTTCGTTTGGTTAAGGAAATTTTTTTTCATGGAAACAAAGCAGAAGAGGAAAAAAATATTCAGCGTATTTATAACTTTCGGAAAAAAAAAAGAAATTTATAATATATAATATATCCCTTTTTTTTTATATATGTATAAATATATATATATATTTTGAAAAAGATGAACAGACTTGATGAGGACAATTTATAATTGAAATAAAAACAAATAAATTTTTATTTTATTTATATGCGGTCAATAGTAAAATCCTTTTATTGTGTTAGGTTAAAGGCGTAAATTATAGTATTAATCTATGTTATCAAACTATTCTAAATACATTTATACTAATTAAATTGATTATCTACATATTTTATACTATATTTATTGTAACGTAGTTAAGAATCGACAATCGACATATGAATTACATGAATTACAAATTGGTTATATTATTGTACTGTATCCTTTTTACATTCTGTAAATCATTTTTTTTTTTTTTCATTTTTTCATATTCTATATATGAATGAATTACTAAATATAACAAACCGGGATTTCGCAGTTTGTTTCACCAAAATTTTTGGTTTAAGAATATAATGTTGTGTTAAAATATGTTGGAGAAAAAAATAAAAATGCAAGAAACCTTTTTAAGAGAATAATTTGCCTCCATGCAGCGTGGCATTGTCGTTAATACGAAAAGGATCTGTAGTTACGTATCCTTTTGGTCACTACGTTTCAAATTTATAATGGATCTTCCTATGTAAATAATCAACTAGCACACTTTCTTTGTGCATCTTTTTACTATTAAAGTCTTGACAATAATGTCCATTTATGAAATTGTTCTGGTCATACGACCCTCTTCCCCTTCAAAATTACGTTGCCGATAAGAAAGAAAGAAAAAAAACGTGAAAAGAAAATGAAAAAAAAAAAAAAATCAAAAATAATGGCTAGTGTGAGTCATCCCGTATCTTTCTACACAAATCTGGAAAACAACAAATCCTAACATACCGGTACTTTTGAGCTGCGTTATATTTAGAAGTTGATTGATTGGGGAAATTCGGAGCGATTAGCTTGCATTTATGTGAAGGCTAGCATTTACATAAATTACACAATGTAATTGAGCACGATGCAAACGTGGTTTTGTATTCAGCTGATGACTGTATTCATCATCTTATTATTATTATCAGTTTCATCTCTATTTAAATTCTAGGTTTCAGTGATCACACGACCTTTATTATCATTTTGTTTCGTGACCTATAAACATCAAGAATATTGCAACCTGTCCAAAATAAAGTCCAAGGCTCGAACGCAGTAAGCGGGAAGGTGTGCCATGCCCATGTGCTCCGCCATCGGGTTGACCATCTTCCGCTTAAATGCTAACTAAATCTAAGCGTTACCTAGACTTACTACGTCAATGGTCCGGAGTCAAATCCGACCCTGATTAACGTTCCGTCAATTTGGTAACATCTCTCTAAAATTGGAAATGCTTCAATTATCCCACGCTTGATACCCCATTGTTGTGTTTGAATAACCAACCGTCATTGGACAATTTTTATAACTTTGAAAATCAATACTTTTTAACGATTTCTTTTTTCCCTACAGGTTTTTTTTTAGAAGATTGAATTAAGGGAATTTTCGGAGGCTTATTTTTAATTGCCCGCCCTTTGCTTGTCAAAAGACCATAAAATCCTTTAATTATACCGTAACAGAATCTTTATACTCCCGTATCTCTCGTATCTCCCGTATCTAGATATCTAATTTCGTAATTTCTTTGAGAAATTTAGCAATCGATAGTGTGTGGCGGTGATAGATATGCAATGATAGTTTGCCACTATTTTACGATGAGAAATGATTCATATGTGATCGGCCTTTTTTTTTTGCTCATATGCAGGATTCCTATTTGTCTGAAAAAGAAGTTGCAAAAAAAAAAAAAAATCCCTGGTCAAATATTGTCCTTGTTTAACGATGAATTTCGGATGAAAACCTGATATAGTAGTTATTTTCATATGTTAATATCACCAAATTAATTGTTACCCCGTATCACCATTTAGCAGTTCTCCTTCAAAGAAATGTCAAAAAAAATTTTTTTTTTTTTTTTGTAACCCCACCTCATATCTTTTTTTTTTTTTTTTTTAAATTGAATAAAAAAAATTTGTTTTTCAGGTTTTTTTTCCTAAATTTCAGTTTCCAAATTTGACTAGTCCATTTTATTTTAAAACAACATGATTTTTTTTTTTTTTTTTTTTTTTCAAAAAACTTGTCATGAACCGAATCGATTTTTAATTGAAATGTAATTTGGTAAAATGGCTTAAAAATTCCGAATTTTCACAATGATAAAAAAAAAACAATAATGCGAAAAAAATTAATAATTCTTGACGGAAAAAAAAAAATTTTTTTTCTTGATATTCGAACATAAGGTTTTCACATACAAGTTACAATCATCTGGATTGTATACGGGAAAGGTCTGGGTACCTTTTGGTGCTCATTGAGGCGACTTTCGGATTTCTCGTTCTTTCATGGGTTACGTCGCGTGCAATTGTACATCTCACGTAGCGAAAAAAGTCCATCGTACATTTGAATTGGTACAATTGACAAAAATTATATTCACATACTAAATTCACGGGCCTGAATATGAATAAAAAAAAAAATTTGGGAAAATTTCAAAGATGTAAAAAGAAATAATTCGATTTTTGCAAACTTTGTGTTACATTGATCCTAAATTATATAATATTTTGAATTATTTCAAATTTCTCACATTAGACTTTTTAATTAGACTATTTTGATTTACATGCCAACGTTTTATATTCTACCCGAATAAACTTTATGAATCAATGCTTTTGATATGTAGAGGCGCAGCACTTAAAAGAAACTTTTTTTTATACTTTCGTGATCTGACTATAAGTATACCCTTTTCCCTTACCTTGCAACGACTTTATCATTTTTTCTTTTTTTTTCATCCATATTTAATTGAGACGAGAGACAAAAAAGATGTCACACGATAATATTGGAAAAGTTGACGAATTAGTTTCACCAAACAAAAATGGTAACATACAAAATCATAATATCTCGTGTCAACGTCAAAATTAAATTTGGCTAATTAACGGTTGTTTCGTTAAAGAATCATTCAGTCAGTTTCCTCTTGAACACGAATCCATGATTCGTGTTACAGAAGGAGAAGGTGATCATGTCTCCAAAGTCTTTGCAGACGATGCCAATGAATGCTTTACTGAGATGCTTGATGAAATAAGTGATCCAGATCCAGTCATGTGCAATAATCTCGGTATTTAACCTTACTTAACCTTCTTAAAAAAAATAAAAATAAGTTGAAGTAGCGATTCATAAGGTTCAACCATTGTAGAGAACGTGGTTACACGTGATCTGACATTCGAGGAGCCTTTGCTCCCAGAGAACACGCAATTGGAGAACAATCATCAAGCTCCCACCATCAAATTGTTTACGTCCAACTTTACTCGTTTCAACGTGCCTGGACCATTTCTAGATGAGAAAACATTTAAAATGGAGGATTTATGGTGTTTATTTCAATACATTTATCATATTTGACACATTTGATACATTTGATACGCTTGATACGTATAATACCTTAAAAAGGAATTACCACCTAAATTAATAAATTCGTCTTCTACTTTTATAGTGCATTACGCGATGATGAACTTGCCATCAAGAAAGAATTTGAACAAAAGGATGAAACAATCTCCTTTGAAGGGTTACGATCGAATGATAAATATCCTGAAGAATCTCTCTTGCCTATAAAAGATATCAATTGTGTGCAAGATGTCCCAAATTCGATTTCGGAGATTGTGTCCTTGGTTCGGCCGGAGGTACTAATGGACAAGGCAGATTCGGTCATCGAAGATACTGGTGTTAGAGCACCGTTAGAAATGATGAACGGTTGGGATAAATTTATTTGACTTCCGTAATATCATTTATCTCGTGTGACTGTGAATGTATGCTCAAAATGAAATTCCTTTTAAAAGAGGGAGCGGGTAGGACAAACAATTTGGAAGAATCTTTGAACGATGATTCTAAAGAGGATGAAGTGATACACGACATTCCCACTTTGATTCGACTAGGTAAGTTTCGTTGGAAACCCTCACGCTCGCTGCTTCACAAAAATAAAAGGAATCATTTACACTTTTGTTGAATTTCTCAATTAGAACCGGTATTGATACCTGCGGAACATGATCTCTTAGAAGAAGTGCATCAAAGAAAGCGTCGGCAAGTAAATCGGGAAAGTTGGTCATTTGTAAGAAAAAAATTAAAAATTCTGATCATATGAAGTATTTTAGGAAGCAAGAAACTTCATCAGAAGATGATGATAAAATCCTTATGTACGCGTTATTCTTCTTTCATCTTATTTCGCCTTCCAAGCATTATATCAAGCGCTCTTTTATATAGTAGGAACGGTTCAGTAATATCCGTCATCAATAACGTCTTTCCTGAAAATACAATATCAACACCGCCCGAAAACGAAGAACTTCGGAGAGGTCTCGATAATGTAACTCATGCTGAAATCTTGGGTAACAAATGGCAAATGCTTGCGATGATGCAATCTATGGATGAATCAGGTGGATTGAAATATTAATTATATCCGTTATTTTAAGAAGCGAATGATTTATTTTGATTCGACAATGTATTAATTACGGCTTCTAAAAAGAACTTTCGTCATGCCACCCATTGAAATATACAAGTGGCGAGCAGGTCGTGATTCCCTCTCGCTCTTCAACATGCGATTTCCGAACTGTTCCCCACAAAATTTTGGAACATGATCTTCATTGGAATCCAATCAAAACCGCTGCAAAGTTAGGAATTGTCCAAATCATTGCTTTAAACCACACCTCACATGATTATGATTTGACAGAGATAATTCAAGAAGGAAGTAGTTTCCTTGATTCGGAAAATTTTCTGGCATTAGCTGACGTTGAAATCACCAACAAAGACGATAAAACTCATTTAAAATCAAGGAAAGAAAAGAAAAGGGGCGAAATGGCAAAACGATCAGAGATCCAAAAGAGTGGTTCGACTTTTATTGCGCCACGAGACAAACCCGCTACTTCATTTTCTATTGATGCGTACGATAACCATTCATTGAGTAATTCGAGAAGGAAGAATCCTCCTATTAAGAGCTCGAATCAAAAGGAAAAATCTGTCAAACAAAATGTATCTACCGGCATACAACCATTATTACGCAAACCTACCGTTAGAAGATCTAGAAATGTTGATAACCCAATTCCAGATATCATGAGTTGGATTAGGATCGGAAACGAAAATGAAAAGGCCCCATCACTAGAAAATGTCAATGATTCTATTCCCAATTTGTCTGGGCAAGATCGTGTTCCTCAAAGGCTTTCAGACCTAAGGAACAATAATGATATTGAAAACTATGATGATATTGAATGTATCGATTTAACTCGGGATACAGAATCGCCAGCACCAAAGATTTCAGCACCAGAGATTCCTACAGTACATTATTCTTCTGAGACATCTCCATTCTTTAAAAATAAGATTTCGTCGCAAAATAGACAAAACCTTTTTGATACAACGCTCTTTCCGGATTCATTTTCCGCAACTAGATCAATTGATGATTACATGCTATTACGAGGAAAATTGTCACCAGGAAGGCGACGAGAAGGTGGTCAAAATCAAATTAATTTTTATTACGGAATGGAACATGTAACCCTTAATTTAACACCTTTATATACAGACAAAGCTCCAAGGGCCACTAGTTCACTTGACAAAATCGCAAGAAAAATCGTCACCCCAGATAACGCGACCTCACCAACTTCTCACGTGACTCCCGTTACGAACCAAAGCGTGTCGATTTTAAACAAGGATTCCTTTGGTATTCGCAAACTGTTATGCTTTGAGACGCTTATTTTTTGAGTCTTATCTTTTTAAACATAATCTGTCTACTTAGTCTCCATTAGCAAGGCTATACTTGACCGGCTTCCAAAACCCAAAGTCCCTTACAAGTATATTGCTTCAGCACGCATATTACCGAATCGTGGACTCTTGACTGCATTGAAGAGCAGAGATTGCAAAGTAGAGCTTATCGAAAGAGATTTCGAGTACATGAGGGTAAGCATTCATTTAGTTTTGCTTTGAAATTTTTTGATATTAATTCATCATGTTCTTATTATCATTCGATTCGTTAAATAAAGCCTTTCTTGTCGGAAAGAGAATCAGATGCTATTCATGTGGACGTCGATATCATTATCGACGAACGAACCGGAGCCATATTTTATCCACTAAATAAGCTTGCTCAAGGTCAAGTGGTTTCGAAGCTTGTGCAAACCGTAAACCGCCTTCGTTTGAAGTACACGAATTTGTATCTGATTCTAGAAGCATACACGTGGAAGAATCGGCCTGCGAGTAATAACACGGAGCATACTATAACCGCATATCCTTTTACCTTACCGACATTAAGGGCGATTTCCGAGTTACAATCGATATTGATGTGCAGTAATTGCGATGATGTGCAAGTAATGTTTTCGTTGTGCGAAGAAATGTCCGCCAAATTGTTGAGAATGATAGGCAATCGTTGCGCCATGCAGTGTGATGAACTAGGAATCAACAAGCGTGGATGGAAGGATCACAAGCAATGGGAGTCGAGAGATTGGATGGCCATGGAAGAAAGTTTGGTTAGATTTTTCGTGATTCTCAAATTTTTAACTTTGACGAAATCATTTTAATTAATATTTTGATATAAATCATATAAATCACACAAAGCATGAAAGGTTCTTGTCATGCTTCTCTCCCTTCATTAATCCGTTTACGGCTCAAATAATTCTGACGGCCACAACTTTGTTGATATTTTTTAAAATGTCACATGCGGAGCGCTGCGCTTTGGTTGGTGGATGGGTTGGCGAAACGCGATTAGTAAGCCTATTATGTTTCATTGTTAATTCATTCATTCATTAAATTATTACAAGTTGTTCACTACGTTTTGTAAACTTGTAGGAGATGTTTGATGAAACCATTCATGAACCCCTTTCAGGTGAATAACGTCATTGCGTTACGACGAAAAACATTTGATAAATCATGTGATATGTGTGTGCAGATCTCATTTAAAACCTTAATTGATGGATTAAAAAGAAAATACTAACCAAAGAATAAGAGTGTCGTCGTCAACAGATTACCCAACAAAAAAAAAAAAAAAAAAAAAAAGGCAATGAAATCTGATTTCCCAAACACCAATAATTAACTTCTAGATTTGTTTAAATCAACACCATGCAGATTGGTAAATCACGAGTCTATGGCATCAGCGAGCATATTCTTCCAGCCTTTTGGAATATTTATGATAAAGGGTTAATAGACGGCGTCTGCATAACTCTAATTTTAACAATGAAGCAAAAACGCAGCCGAGTGGCTTTTTTATTGTCATTAACTCGTTTCGGTTTAATGCCAGCATGAAAAAAAAATTGCATCTTTTTGTTTGTACACGTATAATTAAGTGACGGAAAAGGATTTATTTTAATTCACAAGCTTAAGTTTTCCCACTAAACCCTGTATGATTTGATAGTAAGCAAGCGCTTGATGTATGTAGTTTTCGCTGCAGGAGTAGTTTCAAATTTGCCCAAATATCAAAGAGATAGAATAGTATATTTACCTTTTAAGATCATCAATCGAAGATAAAAACAATTAGTCATTGAAATTTTGAAATCATGACAATTAGTTCAATTATCTCCTATTGGTTGGCGCCAAAAAAACTTGCAACTTCCCCCAACGTAGTGGTTCTTGTTGTTTTTTGTCTTGCATGATAAAGTACATTTACGCCTAAAGCAAAATTGGTAATCAATTCCCATATTACAATATCAGGAAATCAATGTCAATTTACTTGATAAGATTCTAAACTAATTGACATAAAAAACAAAAGTTCTTTTATTCTTTTTGACGATTTCATTGATGTCATACTATATACGAAATAATTGATAACGGTAAAATTTTAAAAAAATTTGAAACAAAGAATAATAAAAAGATGGAAATCCTATTATGAAGACAAATACAATTTGCGTTTAATTGTATTCAGGTATGAGAGAATATGCACGAATTTAAAATCTTTGTGATTCAAATTCTAATGAGTAACCTTTGGCTCATGAAAAAAGATTATGTTAAATGAGAACAAATTCGATTGAGAGATTAAAACGGTTAATGTGAACTTTGAAAAAAAAAAGATTTAATAAGTAGGCTTTTCAAACTTGAATCAATACAATCGGAATTCAACCGTTGTCCTTTCTTTTTTAGTTGCCCACCCTTTAAACATTTGGCTGTTGTAACGTTCTAACATCGTATTTTTACGAAACAATAGCAAAAAATCATTCTACGCGTAAATGTCATATTGTTGACTAACGGATAAGACTAAACGTAATTACCAACGTTCATTATTACAAGGAAATCTCTCGTGTACAAAGTCGGATTAACCGCCCCGTGGTACCCAAGCTTTTTGTAACTAGCTTCACATCATAATATGGACCTTATTATTAAACAAATTCAACATTTCGGTACTATTTAATTTTGGTACATCGAGGAATTTTAAAATATAAATAAACGTTCCCTTACCCTTTAGGTGTCAACTCTCATTTCAGGCCACTAAAAAGAAAAAAAAAAAAAAGATAATACAAATTGACCCATGTTTAAATAAAATAATTCTGTCATAAACATTAGTAATGCCGAACGATAATCAAGGTGTTATTCCACATTGCAATGGACGTAGAGTGGCCACCGGTAAAGTCATCAATGCGATTCTCGACTCTTCGCAAGGAATGAACCGTTGCCTCGTGATCGTAAGCTTGACCGATGGGTTGAGGATTGAATTTCCTGTACCGACCACACAAGAAATCCGAGATCGTTTCTTCTATAAGAGGGCAAAGACTCAACCTGACAAGCCAGCTCGACCTCCGAATAAATTTTTCATCTTTCGAACCATGTTTCAAGGGGCCATCGATAGCCTGAAACTTCAGGTTCCTATCGTGTCCGGACTCGCGAGCGAAGTTTGGAAAAAATGTAGTCCAGAAGTCGTTGAATTATTTACAAAACTCTCACAAATTGCAAAGACCGAACATGGTGTGATCAATCCAGGATACGTTTACAAGCCGAATAGAGATAAGTCTCACAACATGAAATCCAAGAACAACTCTCGTATCCGGGGAAAGGCTTCCCAAGATGTAAATCATTCATTACAAAGTCCAACGTTAAGTGATATTTCCCCGGAATTTTCATCGACTGCGCCCGTATGGACTGCTCCCTCAAATTTGTTTACTCCAAACGAGCTTGTAAATAATGTAATCCCTTCACAACATGCTGCCGCGAATCCATACATGATGAACGAATCAATCACAACGGAACAAAATTACCAGACGATACCATCTTACGGTTCAATTGATCTACCCATTCACCCCATTACAACTCAACCATTTGGAACAATACAAGCCTGCCGACAATTCTATAATTGTCCAAAGTTTTTGTATTGTTCCAACAACGAGTTTCAGATCGATCAATTCAACGCGTTAGGATACGAGCAAAGTGCGATGCCGCAAATATCAACCCCGGGTCAACCTATGCCTTACCTTTCAACGATAAGGCATATGAACTTGAATAATGAACCGGATCAATTTATCTTTGATTCTCCCGTAAGCGAGAAAAATGACGTGGATTTGTTACCAGAACAAATGCACATGACGAATTCAATGGTACTAAACCCACGTCATTATACGATTTTACAACACCCTTACGAACAATACGAACGATCCTCAGCGTTACCATTTAAGTTTGAAAGCATTAACTGATACGTCTGAATGCATTCGGGCATTTATTAATATTTAAGGACTCTTTAAAATATCTTGTTCATGCTTATGGACAAGGAAAGAAAACTATTAAGAACGAGCAAGCGAATTCACCAATGTAAGAAACAAACACATAAGGAATTACGTTTTACCCTTTTTTTATTGATTCACATGATATACGTGATTTTTATTATATGTATACATATTTAATACTATGAATAGAAAATGTTTTTTTATGAACATAAGCTTTAAATAAGTCGTCCTTTTTTTTTTTTTTTATTATTAATATTAATTTATATATTCATAATATATACATGATTTCATATTTTTTTTTCTTTTTGTTTGATTATATGTATGAATATTTAATATGCATATCATAAGCTTAAATCTGTCGATTTTTAAACTTCTTTCTTCCATTTCACACACTGCTCTGTACAATAAAAAATCAAATTCGAAAAAAATTTCAAAAAATTCAAAAATTCCGTCAATGAGCAGTTTCACTGCGGAACGCTAGATGTTCATGTGTTACTGCTATTGCGGAGAATATAATGTAAATCAGTTGCGTTAACAAGACCTACGTCTATAATTCTTGTAATCCGTAACGACTTTATATATACTAATATGGGTGGATAAATGCTTCATCATGTAGTTTATTCCCATGACATACCTTATCTTTATAAATTGATATTTGACTTTATTCTTTTAAGGTTTAGGGGATTATGCCCCGATTTGGAATCTCATACTGACACGATGAGAAATACTTATGAACAAACGAAAAGATAAAATAAACCCAAAATGAGTTATCGTGATCTTCCCACCTATTTTTTTAAGGAAATGACGTGGATTGTTTAGCTCACGTGTACACTCGCGAATATCTTTCAGCTGAAACAAAATGGATGATAACCAAAAACGATTTTAGGATTCTTGCATCCGTAATTTTCCTTGTACATTTTACGTATAGCTTTTATCGATTTGATAAGATAAAGTGATATGAAAAAGTTATCCTACTATTACCTTTAAAATGATATTTTAAACCCGACATGTTTCTGAATTTAGGATTCAGACCGGGTGGTTTCGGTTAAAGTAAATCGGTCGGTAAATCATATCTTAAAATATTTCTTTTTAACTTATCTACTATCGCGTATGTTACATTGATAACTAATTCTGCTAATTCTGATAAAATCGTAAACCCTTTTGATAAAATAACTTATTTTAAAAAAAAATAAAATGTTATCTTCAATTCCAAACTTACCCTATTTTGGGAGGAGACATTTTTTGCTTTTTTTAAAAAACAAAAGCCAATGTTTTAAAAGGGGGATTGAATTTTAAATTTGTAACTCTCATGACGCTGATTTATCTGATTTATCCTTAAAGCAAAAATGTCATCTCTCCCTCCTGAAATCATTCAAGAGATTTTTCGCAACCTAGATGCAGGACATAATGGGTTAAGAACATTATTTTCATGTCTTCTCGTGGACAGATACTGGTGTTCGAATATAATTGAAATCCTTTGGTCCAAACCATTTTATTATTCGAATGCGTTCGCTGCGAATCCAAATTATTTTAGGATAATTGACGTATTTTTAGCATGTTTGGACGAAGAAGATAGAGAAGATTTAAGAAATAATGGAGTTAACTTGCCCGTTATCTTTGACAAACCGTTATTCTCTTATGGTTCATATCATAAGCATCTCTATTATCGTACATTTATTTCAAGTATTTATCTATGGGTTCAAGAGAAAAGGGCTCCTTATGACGGTCATGCATTTGAAATCGTAATGAAAGCCTTATTAAAATTATTTAGCAAATGCAAGAATGTAAAAAGAACATTATACATTATCGAAGGAACAAAAGGTTTGGTCACGCCAATGTTTTACGTGCAACCGGAACACGAGTACCTGATTTCAAACGTAAATAGAATTTGGGTTGATTTGCACATTTATAAGCCTCGCTTCTTTAATCTCCTTGCCAAAAATTGTAAAAGAGTGGTTTGTTTTCATTTTACGATTTCCTTTTTTTTACATTTTTCATTTTTTTTATTTAGTGTTAATTGACCGAAATTTTTTTATTTTAGGAACAATTTGGTGTGTTCATGAAAGACATGGGAAGATTTAATGAAAGTAGTTCCATTGACATAGCAAAATTCATAAAAGAGCAAGAGGCTTTGCAATTATTTCAAAGCATATATCTTGCGCCAACAAAGACCGTTATCAACGCTTTGGAAACGCAAGCTAAATCTTTACGATGCGTCGATTTCAATTGTGCAAATTTCTTTTATTGTACTCCATTAGATGGGCTAGCCGCATGTACGAACCTTGAAGTTTTACGATTTATGAAATGTTACAACCTCACCAAAGAGATCGTCGCACCCCTTTTCAACGCATTTTTTCCAAAACTAACCTACGTGACGGTCATTAAAACTGACTGTGACGAGCTTCAGAGTTGGGCAGCGAGCTTTTGTTTCGAACGAGTAGATTTTCAAGATACGCGTAATCACTTTGACCTTGGTCACATTAGAGAGCTCATGTTAAATAACAAAACTTGTCATGTCTGTGGAGAGCCTTGCATTTATCCTTTGACCACAACGTGTGGACACACATTTTGCAAGGAATGTATTTTGCATTGCTTGAGCATGTATGGTCGATGCCCTTTGAGGCAATGCAGGACGGAAATACCAAATACAAAGTACTTTTATGAGCACCCAAGTGAACTGTCCGATCCAATCATTTCGGAGAAAAGAAGATTGGAAGCCGACAGGAGATTACTCCAGGAGATGCCAATTTATGTTGGTCACTTGGCATTTCCCAAAATGTCATATACTTTCAAGGTCACGGAGCAAAAGTATCGAGTGCTCATTAGATCATGTTTGGAATCTCGTTATTGCAAGAAATTTGGCATGGTGTTTTCAAGGCGGTGTGAATACGGAACGCTCCTGGAAATCAAGCAGATTGACTTTAACGACGAAGGCGATTTGATACTACAAGTAACCGCCACCAATCGATTTAAGATACTCTCAAGCAGGAGGGCAAAGGATAATGATTATGAGGTCGCAGAGATTCAAATCATAGAAGATGGACCTGACGAGGAGGAAAGGTTAATTAGTAGGAACCGTTCACCTTCTGCAGCTCACGAACCAACCACGTCGCAGCTAATAAGCATAGCGCGTGACTTCATCAACGGCAACGAGTTTGTTTCATTGGTTCTCCACCTCCGTGACCTGTCATCATCTCTGGATATTCCGGAAAATGCGGCGGATTTTTCATTTCATGTTGCGTCGCTTTTACCTATAAGTGAAGAGGAAAAGTATGAAATTTTGGAAAAACGTTCTGTAAAGGAGCGTATGCAGTTGATTGTAAGGTGGATTAATGATTTGAGATCTCAGTGGGGTACGTTAATCATCAAACATGTACGAGACGCAATGGATTTCTACGCTTTGTACACTTGGGTTGTAACTTTCGTTAAACACGTTTGGTTTAGGTTTTTCGAACCGTGATTTATTGTTTATAGTGTTGGTGTGTTGAGACATTTTCTTTGCCACAGTATTGTTACTAATGAATTCCCTTTTTACTCTCAATATATTTTTAATTTAACTACCAAGACATTTCAAACACGGAAATATGAATGTAATTATAATAATAGTAAATAATTCGATTATATATGGTTTTAGCTTTCATTTTCAATGTACGAATACTTATGTATTTATTCATCATAAATATCTTATTGTATTTTTATAATATATGTAATATGTTTTATATGTTTTTTTTTTTGATCCACATCTTGCAAAATTACTATTCCTTATTTATCTTAATGTGATTATAAATTACGTAATGATTTTTTTTTTTTGTTATAAATCGATGCGTTGCGCGCGTCCCCCCGTGTCGAAAGATTTGACCATCAAAAAATGATGCTGCGCCTTTGTGAGCCCACCCGCGCATTGAATGTATGTCATATGTAATATAGTTAATGGTGATGCTGCAGGAATTATGTCAAACCAAACCTGTCGCTCAATCCTTTTTTAATTTCTATTAGTCAAACTGGGATAGATGGTGCAGAAATTTTGTGCCAACAAGTTTGGGGGAATATTTTTTCTTTGTTAACAAGCTACACGTGATGGAACGAATTGCGTTCACTACATGAAAAAAAAATTTTTTTTCTCACGAAATTCCCAAGCTTATTTTTTTTTCACCCAAGAGTTCCTTGAATCCTTTAAGTGTGTCACAGGTGAATTCATTCCCATAGTCGTTCATGCAATTCGGAATTACGATTCCACCGCACGATTACGTTTGATGTTATAAATAGCAATTGCATGGGCGGCAAAAAAAAAAAAAACTTATTTTTTTTACTAATTAGGATTAAATAAACCAAATTTGACGGGTATAAATGGGAATTATGTTTTCCGATAAAAACAATCGAATGTGGAATAAATGTCAACGCAAGATGAAAGATAAGGATATAGAAAGAAGGTCATGATGATGATAATGAAATTCAGGAAATGGGGAGGGATTTGAATGTTCTCGAAACTGTGATACCTTGGTCCAAAACTGAGCCCACATAAAAAAAAAAAAAAACAATGAAAATCCATACGAAATTTTGTGTCCGAAACAAACAACAAATACAAATACAAGCTCAATTTATTTGGAAAAGGATTGGCAATTTGTAATTTCTTTATAAATTGAATCAATCTCGAAAAGCAAAAGTGGAAATTATTTTTTTTTTTTTTTTTTTTTTTTTTTTTTTTCAAAAAAATAAAACGCCCTAAAAAATTTTTTTTTTCTTGCCTAAAATAAGAGGGGTTAAAGAACAAAAATTCGGACCGAATAAAAAATGCCCGTACTCACCACTACCATTAGAAAAACATCAAGAATACAGAAATATTACGAGGAACTTGCGAAAACGGGTAATAATAATAATAACAATAACAATGCTCAGGATGATGATATAAATTTTAAGGTTCGAAAATCAAAAAAATCACGGGATGAGCAGACTAAAGCTAGCAAGCCACATCGAAGAAGCGATTCGACAAAACCACACAAGAGAAAATCGAGGAGAAAATCCTCACGGAATGGTGAACTCGTTTGCCTACCGAACAAATATATCAACATATTCATCATCATTTTCATTATAACAATTACAATTTTGAATTATAAAAAAGAATTATCAAAAGTAAATTAAAAATTTTTTTTTTTTTAAATTTTTTTTTTTTTTTTTTTTTTTTTTTAAAAAAAAAATTTTTTTTTACGATTAAATTCATCTACAATTTACCTTGTAGGAAAATTTTCAGCTTTATCAGAATGAATTCGTGGTATGTAAGAAAATTTTTTTCTAAATTAATAAATTATTGAAATTGAAATTATTGAAACTTTGAAAT